GAGAAGAAGACCGTTGCAGGGTTGTCAAACAGATGGCTAGCCCGTGCTGTTCCACAGGCTGTGCTGAGGTTCCAATAGTCACAGGATTTGTCACACAGGGGACACATGGTGAAGGCATTTTGCTGGTCACACATCTCTTTGCTGCAGCAGACAGAGGCAACTGGGTTGGGGAAAGTTCATGCAAGGCCCACCCCAAGCATATCACCCAGAGAGAGCAACTCCTCCCTCCAAATGCATGGCCTGTAATTCCATGAGTGTGAAAGAAGTGGAAATGAGTGTTCACCTTGAGAGTACTACTGGTATTTTGTCTTAAAAAATAAAAAGAACGTGTCACCTCCTAAGGGATAAACTTCCCTGCCAACTCAAAGTTTCTCAGCAGGAAGTTAATGACCATGGATTGCAGCCGTTGCAGGTCATGTGATGCCTTCCTTGTAAAGTACCTTAAAGATACCTTTCCTCTGGAAGGTTGTAGAAAGCACCAACAATTGCAAAGAAACCACCTGCCTGACACTAGATCAATTTTTCAGGCACAACGTGTCTTTTTCAGCCCTACTGGATGTCTCATAAAGGGGAACACAGGTCACAAGGAGAAGGCGACATGAGTGCATGGTAGACCAGCACACGCCCTCAAATCTAGAAGAAGCCACCGGTACAAGAATGGCACTCAATCTGCAAGAATGGAGAAAGCCTGACCATGGATTTTGAGGTAGAAGTCCTTATAGAATGGGGTTTAATAACCACAACCAAATCAGAATCGAATCATCCTCAGTATAAAAGGTTAGTTAACTCTTCTGCGGTGGTAGTTACATAATCTGGTGTCAATTTGAGACTTAAGAGTGAAGGCATGGAGTTTAGCCTGTCAATCAGGTCACAGCTTGATGACCTCATTTGGAGGCTCTAAGGAGATAAATAGCTCAATGGAGGTGGGACACTGGCTGGTTCCCTGTGAGACATTCCTAAGGACAAGACACATGGAGCTACGCTACAGCCCTGGAGCTGAAGGAGCCACGTGGAGACTCCTGCCAGCGCTGAGATGCTTACAATGTCACTGTATCCACAAGACTTCTCACCCACTGGCCTGTGATCTTCCTGCATTCTGTATTGTTGCATGTGTTTCGTGAGTCTGAAGAGGACTTTATAAATTGGCATCAGACATATGGGCTAATATTGGACTTACGGACTTGATCTGGACTGGGCTGGGGCATTTTCTCAATATTCAATTGCTCAAGTATATAAAGCTCTGTTTTATACACATGTGGGTGTCTCTATGAGTTTGTTTCTCCAGTCTCCCCAGACTAACACAGCTGCCAATTGAAAGACGAGGTTAACATCCACTCAGAGATACCTTCAAAGAAAAACTTGGGTGATCTACTTCCAAAACATCAGCTATTTAAAACCCCGTGGAACACAATTCCGCTCTGACACAAACGGGGTTGCCTTGAGTTCAAGTCAACACAGCAATATCTATTTTTTGTTTGCTTGTTTTTTGTTGTTTTCATCAAAGTTATCATGACCCTAAAATGGAATTAGGGGGACTAAAAGAGAAACAAAGTCTTCTAGGGTCTATGTTCTAGGACAGCCAGAGAGACTCATAGTTAAGTGACTGCTAATGTTCCAGATCCCAATCCACTGTCAGTAGATTTCCACTTAATGGACTGATGAATATGTTTGGAATTCCATTCCATTCATCTGTTAAATGACGAGGCAACCCTGGCTGTTTAGAATTAACAACCAAAGCATTACCAGCCCTGAATGGGGTCCCCAAGCCCTCTACACAGAGGTTGTCAGTCTTGGAAAGATCTACAGTTTAGGAAACCAAAAGGGTCCATTCTGCCCTGTGCTATAAGGTCACTATGAATCAGAATTGACTTGATGGCAATAAGTTTGGTTTTGAGTTTTGGTGTACTGGTAGGAAAATAAATGACATCATCACGCTGATGCGCAAGATTCCCCTGGGTGAACGGGTAGATGGCTAAGTTCTTGGTTGGAGGACAGAGGGTGGGGAAACTCAAGATTTCATGAAAAGGAAACGTTGGCTCCTGTCATGGAGCAGCTGCAGCTCCAGCGACGAGGAAACAGGCGATCTCATGCTCACAGCACATCTGCACTTGCTACTGAAAGAGTGCTCCCGAGCATGGCTTCAAGCAAGCGTGCCTGATGAGGGCTAGGAAGCTGGTACCCTGGGTCCTAAAGCAAATGCCGTGATCAAACCCATGAAGCCAAAACAACGCCTGGATCTATTCAATAAGAAGGCAAAGGTTAGGCGATTTACATAAGGCTGTCACTGCCCATCATGCCCCAGCTTTCAGGCCCCTATTTTTAATGAGCTATGAAGTCGGCATTAGGAAAAGGTCTTCGGTGAGAGAATGGAAACTCCAGGTCTCTGAGGATAAGTTTTTGTTCATCCACTGACTCGCTGCTCTCCATTGGCAAGTGTCAATAAAAATGACTCATTCACATCAGAAATATTAAATAGAAATATCTTAATGAGTACAGCTGTGCCATTTTCACCTAGGCATGTTCTTATTGGTAACTAGAGAACATGACTTATGTTAAGTCTTATGGGGTCAAACAAGTAAGTGTTCACTGTAGAGTTGAGAAGGAGTTATTAAGTACTCTCTTAAAAAATAAGTTCATACAGAAAATGATTTGTCGGGATAAATTTGAGTAAAGAGTTCTTAGTCTGAGTAACATGAATTTCTCAGTGCCAACTTTCAAAGAGATTTCATTGAAATGTTTTAAACCATGTAGACAAGAGAGAGAGATCATCCTCGCCAATCTAATTCTAGTTGAGCCTAATCATTGGTCAGAAATGAAGAAATTATTAACACCTAATTTGGTGCAAGGCATTATGAAATTTAAGTGCTGCATAAACTAGAGTATAGTTAACCATCAAGCGTTTGTACAAAACGGCAGCCATTGTAGCATGGGTTTCCTCAGGTTATTTAAATTTCAATGCAGTATATTTTATATGTATTAAGAGCAGGGTTTTTTTTTTTTTTGCTCTTTTTGTGGCAATTTTAACTTCCTTGAGAAATTCTGACTTGTGATGACATTTTTTAAAAATCTAAAAATCATAAAGAGAGTAGGCTTACTGGTAGGATAGAGACTGGTGGAACGCACTGGACTATGGACCTTGGACACCTGTCAGATCCAGAACTGAACTCACCCCCATGGTTCAATTGTCAGCCAAACAACAAGCCTATAAGCAGAACAATAACACAAGTGTGGCAAACACACTTTAAAATGATCAACAACATGAGATCAAAATCAAGGACAAAGTCCAGCAAGATTCGGAAAAGAAGGAGGAATGGAAATGGGAAAGCAGGTAGGAAGTGGGTTACACTGGAGGGATTGCAATGGAGAGTGGGTTACACTGGAGGGATTGCAATGGAGAGTGGGTTACACTGGAGGGATTGCAATGGAGAGTGGGTTACACTGGAGGGATTGCAATGGAGAGGAAACAAAATAATGTGCATGTCAAGCCGATGACCTGCTCTGTAAGCCTTCACCCAATTCACAAGTTGTATAAGCCCCCAATAAAATGATTTAAAAAAGAAACAATAGTTATATGTATTTATATCTGTGTGTGTCATATATGAGGGGGTCCCACCAAAAAAACGGAATTGAACTGGGCAGAGCAGAGCTTTTATAGTATGCATTTTTCCTGCTAGGTGTGCATCGAGCATTTCACTCTGAGTTCGTGCACCCAGTGGCATCACCTAGGAAGCTTCTCTCTGATCACAGTGAATTTTTTCATAAAAGCAGTTTCACAAGAACCTTGTTTTTTTATCATGGCCAATTTAAGAGATCAGTGTATAGCTGTGAAATTTTGTTTCCTGCTTGAGAAAAATGCCACAGAAACTATTGTGATGGTAAAGGCAGCTTACAAGGACAGCGCTATAGGAAAAATTCAAGTGCACGAGTGGTTTTCTTGTCCCAATAAAAGTGAAATGTCAATTGATGAAGAACCTTGTTCCGGACATCAATCAACTTCCTGAATGGGTGAAAATGGTGACAAAATTCCTACACTTGTGCTCAAAGACCGATGAAAGACCAGTGAAGAGATGGGGAAGTTATCTGGACTATCTTGGAGCTCGGTTCAGCAAATTTTAATGGAAGATTTGGGAATGAGAAGCGTCACTGTGAAATGTGTGCCTCAGGTTCTGACTGACCAGGAAAAAGAACGTAGCGTGAACTATGCCGTGCTCTGAAAGAACAGCACTGAACCAACCCAGACTTTTTTTCCAAAGTCATTACTGGTGATGAGATATGGTGCTATCCTTATGACCCCAAAAGCAAATATCAATCAAGCCAATGGAAGACACCATCATCACCTTGCCCCCCAAAAGCTCGTCAAGTGATATCAAAGATCAAGATGATGCTCATTTGTTTTTTTGATGCGAGGGTACAGTGCCTTTGGAATTCGTTCCACCAGGTCAGCTCAAGCTTCCTATTTAGAGGTGCTGATTTGATTGCGTAACAATGTGCAACAAAAAAGGTCTGATTTGTGGCAGACGGGGGACTGCTTTTGCCACCATGACAATGCACCTGCTCATGCAGTTATCTCAGTGTGCCAGTTTGGGGCATAAAACAGTTTGCCTCTCTGGCCCCACGCACTTACTCACCTAACCTCACTCTATGTGACTTCTTTTTGGTGATAAGGTTGTTTTGTAAAAAATAAATAAATACATAGCTTTGGGGTAAAAAAAAATCCAGTTTTGGGGGGTACTCCCTCTTATGTACATATAATATATATGTCAAATATATGTTGGTGTTGTTGTTTTTTAATCATTTTATTAGGGGCTCATACAACTCAAATATATGTTATATATCTGTTATTGTTGTTCGGAGCCATCAGGTCTGATCTGACTCACAGCGACCCTATGCACAACAGAACAAAGCAGCACATGATCCTGTTTCATCCTCACAATCATTCCCACCCTCAAGCCCATTGTTGTAGCCACCGTGTCAACCCACCGCCTTGAGGGCCTTCCTCTCTGTCGCTGCCCCTCCACTTTACCAAGCATGGTGTCCTTCTCCAGGGACTTGTCTCTGCTGACAATATGTCCAATATATGTAATATAAAGTCTTGCCATCCTTGCCTCTAAAGAATACTCTGGCCATGCTTCTTCCAAAAA